GTTTGTGGAAGGATTTGTTGTGTTTACTGCAGGCAAATCTCTGCCTTTTCTCTGCCCATAGCTGGTAAGAAAAACTGACTCCCAGGCAGTGCTTCTGGGGTCCAAAGGACTACCTGGGGCAGGGGCAGGGCTTGTTCTGGGGGAACTCCTCAAGGTAGAGTGGGGGAACTACCCAGAGGAGCCTGGTCAGCCTCACCAGGTGAGCCTCCCATGCTCAGTTGCAGCATCCTTGTAGGTAGTAAGTGCCCCATCCTGGGAGGTAATCAAGGCCAGGCCAGGGTGGAGGGTGGTGTGTGTGGGCAGAGAAGGAACTGAGAACTGGCCAGAGATCTATTTCGAAGAAGGTGGGGAGCAGCTGGCCAGTCGTGGTGGAGGAGGACTTGGGGGCTTACATCCTCAGTCATCAGCGCAGCCTGTCCCTGGCCTCTCCAGGCCCCAGGGATGGCTTTCTTACCTGTCAGATGGGATAATAAGGGTGCCACCGTCTCTCCTGGCTCTCCGTCCTTCCCCTCCCTAGTCTTTCTTTGGTGTATTTGTTTGGTTTGATTTTTGCAGTCGTGGTAACTGAACTTGGGGCCTTTGCACTCAGCTACATCCCCAGCCCTTTTTGAATTTTTAATTTTGAAACAGAGTCTGGCTGAATTGCTGTTACTAAGGCTGGGTTCACATTTGGGATCCGCCTGCCTCAGTCTCCTCAAGTGCTGGCATTCTAGGTGCGCACCACCATGCCTAGCTTCCCTTCCTGATTTTTCCCATGTGTGCTGTGGGGCCAAGGCTGTGGAAGTCCCAATTCGTTTAAAAAAACACAAACAATTTTTTTTTTCTTTCTTTGGTACAGGGTCTCCCTATGCAGCTCAGACTTACAGCAATCCTCCTGTCTCAGCCTTCTAGCGCTGGGATTACAAATGTGCATAACCACACCTGATTCCGGTGGCCAGTACTGTGCACCCGGGGTTCTGGGGCTGGCACGGCATGCAGTGCCAGGAATTGAACTCAGGTCCTTGCACTTGCCAGGCAGGCCCTTAGACCGCCAAGCTATCTCCTCAGCCCACAGCCCCCCTTTTCCTTTACAAGTGAGCTAGAAGATGTAACCCTGACATTTCTCCCAGTTTTCAGTTCTTGGTGGGGTGGACTCCTCCGGAGCCCTCAACACCCTGCCCAGGTGCTGCTCAACCTCTTCTCAGTCAGTTTTCTGCTGCTCTAAGGAGCAAGGGGCCGTTTAGAAGCAGCAGGTCCTTTAGAATAGTGCTGGAGTCCAGGACTCCTGTGTGCTAGACCTGAGTGTCAGGAGGGTCAGCTGGCTGGGTGGGGCTCGCTGTGATTCACGAGGGCGAATTGAGGCTCAGGGACCTTGGGGGCCTGGTCCAGGGCCACAGGGAGCATTTGCCCTCCTTGCCCCTGGGCTTCTGTCTGCCTGGAATCCAAGGACCTGGCACTCCTCCCTCCTGCCCTGCTGTGTGAGCTCTGCTGAGGACACCAACCTCTCCGGTCTCTCTTCCTGCACAGGAGTCTGCAGCCCTTGTCACTTCCCTCCTGTGATGCTCAGGCCCCTGGAAGGGGCCAGCAGGACCGTGTTCTCAGGAGAGTGGTTGTTTGTCTCAGCTTTTTAGGGGAGAACTGAACTCAGCCTGGCACGCACCAGGCAGCGGATGCTCTGCTGCTAAGCTCTGTCCCCAGATCTTTTATTTTATTGTTTGAAACATGGTTTCTCTTTAAACCTGAGATCCTCCTGCCTCAGCCCCCTCTCGGGCCTGGGATTACAGGTGCATGTCACTGTGCCTAGCCAGGAGCAGTCCTCTGAATGAGCCAGGGCTGCCTGGCTTGTGTGCCAGCCTTCGCTTGGCCACACCAGCTCCAGCACCTGTGGACGAGCAGTGACAGCCCTCTGTGGCCACAGAGGGCAGTGCCACTGTGTAGCAGGATAGGCACAAACATGGTTCACTTTTTTCTTTTTTGTACTGGGGATCAAACTCAAGACCTTGTGCTTGCCAGGAGGCAGGTATTTAGGCCACTGAGCGATCTGCCCGGCAACCATGGTGTGTGACAGCCCCGTGCTGTCTCCTGCTCCCTGGGGACCCAGGGCCTCAGTCACCACTGCAGAGGCAGCTGGGGATCGGTTTGATCGCCAGACACAGGGCTGTCTGACTGTCATCCAATCCTGGGTTGTACCCGGGGCCACTGAAGAAGGTTGGAGGGTCCACTGCTCCTCCCCCACAAAGTGCGACACTCAGTCACCTGCCGTGTGCACCGCATGCACAGACCTGAAACAGGGCTTACTGCAGGCACGCAGCCTGTGCCCAACCGCGCATGTGCACGGTGCCCACGCCAGCCAATTCCAGACACGTAGGCGAGTGGAGCTTCTCTAGGCCTTGTGAGGTCGGTCAGGCTGCAGAACACTGAGGGCTGGGGGTGGGGCAGGAGGTAGAGGACACGTAACAGCTAGCTGCCACTTGAAGAACCAGCAAAAAGGAGGTTGGGGTCAGGAGGAAGTGACATACTCCATAACAAGAAGTATGGGAAGCTGGGTCTGGTGGTGCAGACCTGTAATCCCAGCCCTCAGAGGCTGAGGCAGGAGGATTGCCAGCAAAGAAACAGCAGCCAGCCTCAGCAATGGAGCTGCCCTTGGCAGTGAGTGAGGGGACAGGACTGTGGAGCCCAAGTCCACTGCACTGCACAGAGGAAGGCGGCAGAAGCAGCAGGGGAAGCAGAGGCAGGAGGCTGCCCTGGGGTGGCTGTGGGAAGGAAGGGTAGATTTGGTCCTGTGACAGCTATGGGGTTGCAGAACATGCTGAGTTTGGGGAGCCCCACTTTTCAGCACTCAGAGCCCAGGAGTGGGCAGCAGGGCCTGGGGCTGGGGCTGGTGGTGCTTGCTCAGCTGCGGGGCTGGCAGACATTCTGTCCGCTGTCTTTGTCCTTTTTGGAGCCAGAGATTCTTTTGTTTTTGTTTGTTTGTTTGTTTGTTTGTTTGGGGGAGAGGGCCAGAGAGCTACCTATGGAACTGAAGTAGAACTCCAGGCGATCCTCCTGCTTCAGCCTCCCAAATGCTGGGATTACAGCACCACCATGGCCTGCCTGGGCAGAGATTTAAGGCACAAGCTCTGGGTCAGCCAGGGATTCTGCAGGGGCCACTGCTGCTGGTACCCCCAGGCCCTGGGCTGGGCCCCTTAGGCACCATGCCTGGCTCCCTCCAATGAGTGCCCAAGGCCTAGGTCAGGCTCCAGGGCTATGAGGCCACCCTCCCGCGCCCATGCCCAGCCAAATGCCCCAAGCCATTGCCATCAGCCCCCACTCTGGTCTGGCCCCTCATCTCCAGACGTCTTTGCCACCTACCTAGCTGAGACTCAGTCCCAAATTCTCTTCCAGGAGACCAGAGAGATCCTCCCGAAGTGCCACCCTCCTGCCTAAACCTCCATGGCTCCCGGTGACCCTCCTTTATTCCCAGTCTGGGGCTATGGCACCGATGTGTTCCCTGTACCTTCGGGGCTGATTCCTTTTGCCCTGCCCTCCATGGGGACCCTGGGCCCTCCTCTCCCGGCCTTGTCTTCCCGGAGCATGAGTGCAAACCGGGTGGATCCAGTTGCTCAGGATGAGGGGCAGAAGCAGCCACAGCTCAGAAAACCAAGGACAAGCCCAGTGTGGTGCCCTACTTCAGTAATCATCCTGGGAGACTGAGGCAGGAGAATCACAAGTTCAGATCTGATGGGCTTTTTCCAGGTGGGGAATCTCCATTTCAACCCAAAAGACCTTGGCTATAGGGGCTGGTGAGATGGCTCAGTGGTCTAAAGCACCTACTTAGAACAAGCTAAGCTAAGCTAAGCTAAAGCACAGGGACGACGGTTCAATCCCCAGCACCACATGCCAGCCAGCCCCGCCCCCTGGTGGGCTGAGCTGCCCCCCCACACAAATAAATAAAATATTAAAAATAAATAAAGGGGAAAAAAAAAAAGACCTTGGCTATAGATTCTGGAATATCCTGGAGTTCCCACCCCTTGCACGAGCTTAGGCCACCTCTTCCTCAGTGTGTTCCACGTCTGCCCACCAGGATGGAGTTGGGGAGTGTTCTTCCCTGCCCGGACCCCTGGACCCTCCCCCCTCCCAGTGCTCAACACGGAGCAGAGTGAGTTACCAACATCATGTTCTCGTGTCCTTGACCCCAGTGCTTAACGGTTGGGACTCTGATCCTATCTCCTAAATGAGGAGGCCCAGGGAAGGGAGGTGACCCCAACATCGCAGAGGCAGTCAATAGCAGAGCAGAAATGTCATTTACACTGTACTAAAGTATCACAGACACATGATAAGTCACATATGTTTTCTTTATTTTTGCATTGTTGGGACAGGTTTTCACTGTGTCGTCCAGGCCGGCCATAAACTTACTATATAGCCCAGGTTGGCCTCCAACTGACTGCGATCCTCCTGCCTCAGCCTCCTGAGTATTCACACGCCTTCCCTACCCGTGGGCCTGACCTGTGTATCTCAGTGGCCCACCCTGGGCCCCACCTGTCAAAGCCACAGTGGCTGTTTTTGTCTGTTTCCTTGTGTGGACTGAGTCTCCCTCCCAGGGCTGAATGCCTGGGTGTGGAGGATGTGCCAGGCCGGAATGTGGCCTTCACTTTTCTATTCAGTGCCTTGCTGGGGTGGAGTCCAGGGCCCGGCATGGGTGTTCCCAGTTTCAATCCCTGATTCACTTTCTACAAAGGTGCAAGGGCTGAGTACGGTGGCCCACATCTGTGATCCCAGCACTCTAGGCGGCTGAGGCAGGAGAATTTCAAGTTGGAACCCAGCAGGATATCCTGGCAGACCCTTCACCAAGGGGGTGGGAGACTGGGAATGTAGCTCAGTGCAAAGGCCCTGGGTTCCATCTCTGTACTGCAATAAATAAACAGGCGCCAAGGGTTTCCTAAAGCTTCCAACTCTCACACCCGGGCCAGGCCTGAGGAAGTCCCGTGGGGCTGGGGACTCCAGGGCCTCCTCCCTCCCTCTCTTCCACTGGGCCTGGCTCCTCTCTGTGGGAGGCCTGGTGTGTATGTGTGTGTAGCCCACACAAGGAAATTCTAGAGGGTGATGGAGCCACCCTGGGGCAAAGGCGGGGTTCAGAGGGCGCGAGGGGTTTGCAGGCATCTTCAGCTGGGCTCAGGCCCACCGCGGAGGGGCCTGGAAGACGGAGAACACAACTGGGTGGAGGGCACGGCCGGTCAAGGTCCGTCCAGTCCGCTCCGGGCCGGCCGGCCGGGCTCCCAGGCTGCAGACTGCTCGGTTGCTCCCGGCCCGCGCCGACCACCTCGCAGTCCTCGAGCTGCCGGCCCTGCTTCCCCCGCCGGTTGCTACAGCAACTGAGCTGCAGTAATCAGCCGCGCGGTGACCTTTCTCCCCCGAGAGGGAGGAGGTGCCGCTGGTCAGAGCGGTGTAACCGCGCTGCTGGGTCTTTGGGGGGCGCGGGGGGGGGTCTCGGCTCGGCGGGGTCAGCGCGGCCGGCGGGGGGCACACTCGGGGACAGACCCCGACGGGGTCGGCCCAGCCCTCCCGCGCACACGCCAGGCCAGCGAGAACGACGGGGTCCCCAGGGCCCAGGACGCCCCCGTCCCCGCCACGGCCCCGACCCGGATCCTGGCGGTCCGCAGAGGCGGAGAAGCCAGGCCAGGTCGGGGTTCCCGGGCGCCGGGAGCTTGACTCCCGCTGCGGGCCTGCCCTCTGCCCTCCTCCTCCGGTTGTCAGGCTGAGGGCCCCAGGCGCACCGGGCAAGGGGCCCTGTGACAGGCACGCCTTGCGCCCACCGCCCTTCCCGCCACGGCCATCCCGGGGTCGGTCCAGCCCCGACCTGCCAACCGCCTGCTTCCCACACCAGCGCCCCGAGCCCACCGAGCCCCCTGTGAGGCGGGGGAACGCCAGATGGTGGAGGCCCGGTTTCTCGGTCTGTGGCAGTTGGGGAAGGAGGGAGGGATCCCGGACAGGGTCGGGGCTTCTGCCAGGGCCATTCAGGGTGCGCTCTATCGTGGCCGAGGCCCCTCACCCCAGCCGGGTCCCGGAGAACCTGGGACTGATGGCACACCCGGACTCCTGGGGTGCCATCGCGTGGGCCAGGTGTTGAGACGTTCCCAGGGAACCTCGCAGGCCCAGGGCAGGAGGCGGCTTTGGGAGAAGTTAAGGGAGCCCAGACACCCTGCGCCCGACCATAGCTGAGTCCCTCCGAGTCCCAGGCTCCTGGGTGGCTGCTCTGGGCTGGGTTGGGTGACCCCGTGGGTCTCCGTCAGGCGAAGCAGCCAAGACTCTCAGACCCGGGCGCTGTGACCTGGTCACCCAGCGGGAAAGGCTACCTCTTCCCACCCCTGGTCCTCATAGGTGCCCCATCAGCGGGGATCCAGGGGTGTGGCTGCTCCCCATGGAGGGTTGGACAGAAGTCCCTGGGGCTGTTCTAGGAAATGTTTAAAGAATCTGGGTGTGGTGGCACAGTCCAGTGATCCCAGGAGTCTGGGAGGCTGAGGCCAGAAGGTTTGCAAGTGTGAGCCCAGCCTGGACAATGTAGCCAGACACTCCCCCCCACCCCCAACAACAACAACAAAAATAACCAGGACATAGCCTAGTGAAAGCCCAATACCAGGAAGGAAGGGAGAGGGGAAGGGAGGAAGAGGAGGGAGAGAGTTTAAGAAAACTACATGAAGGAAGTAGTGGACAGGTGAGAGGACACTCATAGCAGGACAGGCACAGGCAGGGCTGGGGTGGAGAGTGGTCAGCCGCATTAGTCAGGCTTTGGCTGGGGACACTTGCAGCCCCATCTTTCCAGAGAGTTGCTGGAGAAAGCCAGATCATTCTCCCAGAACCACAGGGCATTAGGGTGGAAGAGGGCAGAGGTGCGCGCCACCCAAGCGTCCTCCAGCTGCCTTCCATCCTCCTCCCATCCACCCATCTACCCACCACCCTCTTCCCTTTCTGCATCCATCCATTTCCATGCACACAGCCATCCCCCATCTTCCACACGCCCATCCCCCCACACCCCACCCAGTGCTCTTAGTTTTTTTTTTTGTTTTTTTTTAAATTTTATTTATTTATGTGTGTGTGTGGCCAGCTCAGCCCACCAGGGGGTGTGGCTGGCTGGCATGTGGTGCTGGGGATTGAACCGTGGTCCCTGTGCTTTGCAAAGCTTGTTCTAAGTAGGTGCTTTAGACCACTGAGCCATCTAACCAGCCCAAAGAACCCATCCATGAGGACTTCTTTTTTTTTTTTTTGCGGAACCAGGGATTGAACTCAGGCCCTTGCGCTTGCCAGGGAAGCGCTTATTTCACTGAGTCATCTCCCCGGCCCCATCAGTGCTCTTAGTTTTGATTCCCCAGCTGCTCACGCCTGCTCACTGAGCTTCCTCCTGGCTCTGAGTGCTCCAGCGGGCTGGGCACTGTTAGGTGCTGCCCCGCCCTCACCCCACTTTGGCACCCATTTCAGACCAGCAGCTCTGGCTGCTCCCTTCCTTAGTTGTCCCCTTGTCCTTCCCTCTTCCAAGTCCCTTGAGTCCTCACCCAGGCCTTTCAGTCCCAAGAATCCCAGCACACAGGAGGCTGAGGCAGGAGGACTACCACAAATTCAAGGCCAGGCTGGGTTACACAGTGCGACCCTGTCTCAAAAAACAAAAACAAGAACAAGACAAAAAAAAAATTCAATAATAGTAAGACCAAGCCTCCAGCTGGGTCCCAGAGCCTCGCTTCATGCTGTGCCCTGGCGGTGGCCACCAGCCCAGGACCCAGCTCCAGCTGGCTGCAGGTGGCACAGGAGCAGTGTGGTGGTGGTGCCTGCAGTCTGACACCACCACTGGAGCGGGACAGTTGTCCCTGCCCTGACGGTTCCCGGGAGGGGACATGGCCTTGTCTTCCCTTGTGACAGCACAGGACCTGTGGACGGGACGGGGGGAGCCTAGAACCGTGTTGACTACCCTAGCATCCCAGCTGTGGTCTCCCCCAAGGTGAGGGACAGCTTTGCTTCCTGCCTCCCCTCCACTGTCGCAGATTCACCACTGGAGGTGGCCACAGCCTCTACCCCACCCTCCAGGCCCCTGGCCCCTGCTCTGGCGCCAGAGTGACCCCCGTGCCCCAAAGCCTGCTTCACAGGCTGCAGAGCCAGCCAGGGTTGTCCCCACCCCAGAGCGCCGAGCTGTCAGCGGCTCCTCTGGGCGCGGGACTGCCTCAGGCGCTCACTGAGACACAGGCGCTGACACCAGAGAGCCTGGCAGCAGATCCAACGGAGCCCGCCCCCAGCCGGGGCAGCGGCAGGCACGAAGGCTGCCTGGGGCCTGCGGGTGGGGCCACTGGCTGGAGCTTCCAGCAGAGTCCAGCCCTGCTGTTCCGTGGAAGGACACAGGGGAAGGAGGAAGGAGGAGGGAGGGAGGGAATCATGGCGCAGAGGCGCTCAGACGTCCTTCTTCCTCAGCAGACACCAGGTCACTGACCACCAGACCAGCGAGCCCCAAAAGCTACAGGGTGGAGATCAGGGTGAGAGGGCGGAGCCTCCTGGTGCCAGTCACAGCCTGGGCTGCAGTGGCCAGAGCTGGACCTCCCCCGAGGTAGGGAGGAGAGTGCTCTGGGGAAACTGAGGCTCAGAAAGAAGAGTCACAGCACAAATCTGCCTACACCAACTCCCCCTGCCCTAGCAGAGCCTCGCCTCCAACTCCCATAGGTATCCTCCTGCCTCAGCCTCCTGAGTGCTGGGATGGCAGGTGGGCCCTGTTCCAGGAGAGGAACATACCAGTGGAGAACTGGCATGCTCAGGAGGTGTCTGGGGACCACACAGAGGGGACAGAGGTCTGGGGCAGGGCCAGGCATAGGGATCATGGGTGAGCTGTGACCAGTCCCCCTCCGGCATACCTGCCCTCTGTCCCCTGCTGTCATCTGCTTGGCCAGCAACATGAATGGTGGCAGCAGCCTTCCCAGGCCACACACACACAGCAGCTGGGTGGGTCTTCCTGAAATATAAGGGGAACTGCGCTGCCCTCCCTCTTCAACCTGCCATCGTTCCCTCTGGCCCTCTGGATGAAGTCTGTGATCCTTGCTGCCGCCCAGAAGGCCCTTCCCAAGCTGACTGATGTCAGCTTCTCTGGATCCCTGGATCCTCTCTAGGGTCAGAAACCCATCAGCTCAATCTGGGCCACAGCTTTGTGGCTGTCTTGGCCCAATGCCAAGAAAGATCCCACATCCCCAGCCTCCTGCCCATCCCTGCCCTTGTGCCTGCCAGGCCCCCACGACATGCTGCCCCCACTCTGCACGGTGTGTCCCACACCTGGCTTCCCCAGCAGAAAAAAACAAACCCCTGTCATCGGAATGTCCCAGACCCCCGCCCCCCGCCCTCCCTCCCTCAACCATGGCAGGCGGTTGCCTCATTTCTGTCCTCAGAACATTGTCACCCATTTGCTGGCCTCCGACGTTTTCTCCTCCACATTGCCAGGCGGCAGTGCACCTGCTGGACTGGGAGTGGGACTCTGGCTGGCGGCGGTTTCCCGCGCTGGTTCCTGCAAAGGGTTTATCGGTACGTTCACTTATCTTGAGCCGGAGCCCAGACAGCGGGAAGGATGTGAAGGGGGCACTGGACAGTGACAGGAGCCAACTGGAGCCCTGCTGCAGGGACCATCCAGGTATGAGGGACAGATGTGGCCAGCTCTGTGCTTTGAGGATCCCAGGAGGGCTTCTGTCAGCCTTGCGGCACCCAGGGTCCCAGAAATGCAAGCCTGGACATTGCAAGAGCTGGGGGCGACCTCACCAGCCACATGGAGGGGCCTTGCCCCTAGCAGACTTCCTGATGAAGGACAGGAGCACCACAGGGCCTGGTGACAAAGAAGAGGCAGCACACGCCTGTCACTGCCCCACTCCGAGGCTGAGGCAGCAGGTGCCAGTCACAGCCTGGGCTGCAGTGGCAGAGCTGGACCTCCCCCGAGGTAGGGAGGAGAGTGCTCTGGGGAAACTGAGGCTCAGAAGGAAGAGTCACAGCCCAAATCCTGTCCCTCTGCCAGCACCAATTCCCAAGAGTTCAAGGCCAGGCTGGGCTCCATAGTGAGTCCTCCAGCCTGCCCTACAGAGTGAGACCCTGTCTTAATAAACCAAACTAAACCAAAAAAAGGAGGATGGGGGGGGGGGGACAAGGTCTTGCTTTGTAGCCCAGGCTGGTCTTGAGTTCACAGCAATCCTCCTGCCTCGGCCTCCTGAGTGCTGGTGTGATAGATACATGTCACCATGCCCAGTAAGCCCTTGGATTTTTTTTTTTTTTTTTTTGTGGAACCGGGGATTGAACTCAGATCCTTGCGTTTGCCAGTCAAGCGCTTATCCTACTGAGCCATCTCCCCGGCCCCTTGGATTTTTTTATTATTTATTTATTTATTTATTTATTTTGGTGGAGCTGGGGATTGAACTCAGGCTCTTGTGCTTGCCAGGGAAGCACTTATTCCACTGAGCCATCTCCCCAGCCCCTCTTCTTTTTTTCTGAGGTAGTGTCTCATCAAATCTTTAAATTGTCACAGCTAGGTTGAACTCGGAATCCTCCTGCCTCAGCCTCCCCAGTGCTGGGATGACAGGTGTGCAACACCCGGCCCAGGGCGAATGAATACACGTCTAGAAGGCTCCCAGGAGCACAGCTAGGCGCTTCATCCGCCAAGCAGGGTAGCGGGATGGATGCATGCTCCTGGGGCAGGGGGCTGCTGGGGACAGTCGCGTTACCTCCTCCATAGTCAGTGTCTGTTGGGTTCTCTGTGGGTGGGACTGTGTGCCACAGTCTCACCCTGTGTTCATTGACTGCACCGTAGACCAACCTTCCTTCCATTTTACCTTCCTTCCTTGTTTTGTTCCTTTGTTCCTTCTTTCCTTCCTTCCTTCCTTCCTCCCTCCCTTCTCCCCTTCCCTCCCCTCCTCTTCCCTCTCCTCCTCTTCCCTCCCCTCCCTTTCTCTTCCCTTCCCTTCCTTCCCTTTTCAATGCTAGGAATTTAACCCTGGCTCATCACAATGAATTCCATCCCCGGGCTCTTTATTATTTTTTATTTTGAGATAGGTTGCTAAGTTGGTCAGACTGGGCTTGAACTCAGTCCTCCTGCCTCAGCCTCCCAGAGTATTAGGATGACAGGCATGATCTCTGGCTCACAGCTCCATGCTCTAGACAAGAGTGGAGCTTTTGAGAGGGGACAAGGTGGGTCCCTGATCCAGGGGCTCCGTGTGCCCTGCAAACCCCAATGGTCCACACAGATCAGGTCTCTGCTCAGGGGCAAAGGGGCACTGCCAGTTACAACATGTATAACCTTTGTATCGTAATTGTCATTTTACAGAGGGGAAAACTGAGGCCAGAGGAGGCCAGAGCCACCTGTTATTATAGGGGGTGTCAGGCAGGACACAAACCTGGGAGGAAGGCGGCAGCGAGGGCAGCTCCTCTCGGATCCAGGGGCTGTAGGGCACAAAGGGCGGGGGTCAGGAAGTGGGGTCTCTTCTGTCTCACCCCTCAATGTGCAAGGAAAACAGGTGATTGACAATGTCCTCAGGGGCCTGAGACAGTGGGGAGGAGAAAGCTCAGCAGACAGATGGAGGCTGAATGTCAACCTTAGGAGACCTATGTCAACACAAACAAAGCTAACCTTTGGTGTGGCTCGGTTGCCTTCCATGGGCCAGGACCTGGGCTCGTTCCCAGCACCACAAACACCACCACACCATCAGGCATGGTGACATGTGTCTGTCATCCCAGCACTTGGGAGGCCAAAGCAGGAGGGTTACCAGGAATTTGAGGCCAGCCTGGGTAACATAGTAAGACACTGCCTCGAAAAAAAAATACAAAACGAAAAAATCACTATGCAGTGAGGTTCAGGTCACCCCAGGTCCACAGAGACCAAGGTCTAGGGAGAAAGGGGGTGGGGCAGCCACAGATGGTGGGTGGAGCTTGGGTGAACACGCCCATCTTTTATCCAGGCCACGCCCACTTCTGGGAAGAATCCTCTGTGCCCCAGCCAGCGGAGTTCCAGACTAGCTTCCTTCCCCCTGGGGATGCGGGCCAGGTCCCTCACCCAGCTCTAGCCCTAACCTGCCTTCCTTAAGAAAGGGGAGAGACCTATGATATCTGTAGTGGTAATCATGTCACCTCCTCTAGGAGAAGGGACTGTTCCCCTCAGCCCCAAGGTCAGAAGGCAAAAGGGAACACAAGGTATGTGCCCATCTAGTGGGGACAGGAAATCTGCAGGCAGTTGCGTGTGCCCAGTGGGACAGGATGCAGCCCTGATGGAGCAAATCACCACACACTATGTAGTATTCACGGACTTGTTTCGTTTTGTTTTCTTGAGATAGGGTCTAGCTATGTAGCCCAGACTGGCCTCAAACTCACCGAGATTCTCCAGCCTCAGCCTCCAGAGGGCTGGGATGGTGCGCAAGTGCCACCACACTGGAGTGTTGACTGACTTCTGTATGAAGACATTTTTATCAGTGCCTCAGGGGACTTATCCTGGGAGCCTATCCCTGCCACAGAGACGTTCAGGGCGAGGACCCTGGAGCCAAGGAGCTCTCCAGGAAGCTAAACACAGCAGGGGAAGGAAGGGGGTGTGTGCAGCACCCCCGTGCCCACACATGTGCTCCGTTCCCCCTCTGACACTCCCGCCCTCAGGAGAGGCCACCAGCAGAAAGTCAGGGAGGCTCCGCCGGCAGCAGCGAGGCCTCCTCCAGGGTCTGGCCGCGCCCCGGCCCTGCTATCTGTCTGAGACCTCGCCTCCGCCTCACCCAGAGCCGGTCTGGGTCTCTCGGGTCCAGATTGCCTGCGGCCAGGCCTGGCCTCGGGGTCCGTGGTCCCCGGCCTGCCGTGTCCGATGTGTAAAGGAGCGCCTCCTCAGGACTGCCCTTGTGCCTGCTAACCCTGACTCCCGCTGGGGGTGCAAGCTAAGGCTGGTGGGGGTCCTGTGAGGCTGGGGCCAATTTGGGGGGTCGGGGCTGCTTTCTGGAATGAAAGCCTGGATCCCCCGGGGCATCCCAAGATCCCCGTTCTCTGCTTTCACCCGGCAGCCCCGTCTGAGCGTGCCTCCTCTGCCGCCCAGAGCCCCACCTGGCCGGGCTCGGTGTCCCCGGGACTAGGCCGACGTCCCGGGCCCCGGCTGAGGCAGCCGCACCCCGCAATACCCCCATCCCCCCGCGCAGGGTCCAAGGGGCAGCGGGGAGAGAGGGCAGCTGAGCGAGCAGCCGGAGAGCAAGGGGACTGCAAATGTTTCTTATCCTCCTTTCTTTTAAGAGCTGAAACCAGCCTTGACAGCCCCAGAAAATAAATGGCACCGACTCGCTGGGATTTCAAATTCCGTGATTAAGGGCTGAAGCGAACGGCCCTCCCTCCCTCCTCCCCCTTCCCCCCCGCCCCCGCCTCTTCCTGCCTCCCCCTCCCCCTCCCCCGCGGCTGATAGGGCGCTGGCGGCCGGGGACAGCTTTGTGCGCTGCCGGCAGCTCTGATCCGCAGCGCCCGCCCGCCCGCCCGGCAGCAGCGGCGGCGGCTCCGGGCTGTTTATCAGGAGCGCGCAAGCTGGCTGGGAAGCGGCTCTAAATCCCTTGCCCGCCCGCACAGCCGGACTCACACACGCCGGCTCAGACACACACACACACACACACACACACACACCCCTCACAACACACACGCACATTTGCACATGCACGCAGCTCGGTGCACACACAGGCCCTGCGGGGGCTGTGCCTGTTCTCCCAAGGAGGAGGCTGCAGAGCCGGGGAACACGAGGAGGAGGGGAGCTTCGCGCAGGCCAGGGCAGCTTCCTGACCGGGGTGGCAGCTTTGGCCTCTTCCGACTACCATCACGCCCACACTGAGCTGCCTCGGTCTCCCCTGCCTACTCACATTCAGTGGCACCTGTGCTAAGGAGAGGGCAGGGTCCGTCCACAGCCCCAAGGCAGGGCTTCCTGGGAGCTGGCACGAGACAGGTGTCCAGGCATATCCAACTGTGGGTGCTCCCCGGCTTTGTAGCACTGGAACCCGAAGGAGTTAGGGTCCTGGATCTGGGGGCCTGGGAGGAGAGGACAGGCAAAGCCTTAGGTGCCCACTGGCTGCATGTCACCAATGTCCCCCATGCAGGAAAAAGGTGGAGACAGCCTTTCCTGGGTAGCTTCTGTATGGGGCACCATGGGCACCTTCTGGAACCACAGGACACAGCCAGGCACTCTGGGCCAGAGGTTCTGCTCATTGGCAAACTCTGGCCTCTGCACTGAGTTCCAGCCCTTTTTATTATTGATTGATTGATTGATTGATTGATTGCGGAATCGGGGATTGAACTCAGGCCCTTACACTTACCAGGCAAGTGGTTATTCTACGGAGCTAGCTCCCCGGCCCCTCTTTTCTTTTTGGTGGAACCAGGTATTGAACTCAGGCCCTTGCACTTGCCAGGAAGTGCTTATTCCACTGAGCCATCTCCCCGGCCCCTATTTCTTTATTTTAAAAATATGTATTATTTATTGGATACAGGGTTTCACTATGCAGTTCAGATTTCCCCAGTGCTGGGATTACAGGCATGTACCCCCAGGCTTAGTTTCGGGCAAGGCGCACCTGGGGTTCTGGGGCTGGCACGGCATGTGGTAACCGGGATTGAACTTGAGTCTTTGAGTTTGTCAGGCAGGCACTTAGACCGCTGAGTGTTTTCACTGAGTCACTAAGTTGCCCAGGCTAGGCTTGAAGTAGTGCCGGGGTGACAGATGTACCTTTTCACTCTCAGTTCGTTGGTTTGGTTTTGGTGCTGGGACAGAAAGAGGTGTGTGTGGTACTGAAATGCTAGCCACACACTCTGCCTGCGTGCGGCCTGGTATTTGTCCTTGACATTGTAGTCAGGGTTTACAGGGAAACACTGAATACAGGACACATAACTATTAGGATTATTTTATAATATTCACCCAGAAAGTCAAGTGCAAAAGAGTTCAAGAGAACTGTCTAAGCACCAGGAGGATAAAGGATCTGTGCCAGCAGGCTGAGGGATCTGTACAGTGGGGTACTGCTAGGCCTTCCCTGTCCTCTCTTTATTCCCCTCCCTTATATGGAGGCTGTGGGTGTTGGATGGCCAGATTTAACAAAAATATAGGAGGTATATTTGTATTTCTTGTAAACAAGAACAACACTAGTTTACACCCTGCCTCCCTCTATCATAGAAGCTGGAAAAACTTAAGAACTCAATTTCCCAGCTTCTCTTGCAGCTAAGGTAGGCATGTGACCCGGCTCTGGCCAATGAAGTGAAAGCAGACAATCCCTGAGGAAGGTTTTCTTTCCTGAATTAAAAAGTAAAGATTTCAAGGAAAATACGATTCATCTTACCTACCCCTTCTGTCTGGAACATGGATGTAATGACAATATAGGGGTAGCCACCTTAACACTGTGAGGACAAAAGCCAGAGGCTAAGATTTGTGGACTAGGAAGTCAGGGCGTTTGTGTGCTCAGGAATGCTTTTACCAATGCTGCCAAACCTCTCTTGACATTGAGCTTTTGCAGAAAGGCACTTCCTGTTCGCTGTTTGGGGTTTTCTGTTGTGGCCCACTGCAAAGTGTAGTGGAATCATCAATCTTGAAGCCTGAGGCAGGATCCTGAGCCCACAGGTGGCAGTTTGAAGTTGCGTGGAAATTTATCAGCTTGTATAAAATATTTGCCAGGTCCTGACCACTACAGTGCCCTGGACGGGATGTCCTTGTCATCCTCTGGGAACCAAGGCCTGGTGCTAGGCTGAGACAGGGTGAGGACATAGCCAGTCTCTTCAGGAACAGATTGTCCCTCCTTCTTCAAGGACATCCATCCTATCAGGAGGTTTTGAGCTGTGCTGTACAACACAAAGTTGACGGTGGAATTTCGAAGCTGCAGGTTTCTGAGCTGTTCTGTTCACATTTTTCACTTGCAAAACAAAAACTCAGCATCCTTGCAATGGATCCCATGCGTTCTCTCTGGAAACTGCATCAGTCTTTGGGAATCTGTCCTAAAATCTCTCGGCTCTCTCACCCAGTGCTCAGCAGACCAGGAGGTGACATGGGCCCCAGGGAGAATCCAGGCCATAAGGGGGGCTGTGCAACCCTGGGAACCCTAACATCTAGCCGGCAGGCCCCAGCGAGCTTACAGGCAGCTGCGCTGGGAGAGAGGCTCAGCTGGAGATGAAAGGCAGAGCTGCCGCCCTGCGCCCTGCAGCATTTTAAGCCCTGAAGCCCTGGAGAGAAGAAAGGGAGGGAATTGCGGGCCGCCACAGGCTGGGAGGGAGTCCAGGGGGTGTGGCTGACCTCCGTGCTGGGAGCCCAGGAACCCGGATGCTGGGATCCCACGGTCAGGCACGGAAACCGGCACCAGGCCCAACGTCTCAGGCGCTGTCCTCCACAAGGACATCCGAGGCTGGGTCCCAGCCGCCATTCCAAGTGCCTCCGCTTTTGCCAGCCTCATCCTCTGCCTTGGCCCCAGTGCCAGGCTCAGCCTGCTCTCAACAGAGTAGTGGGTTGTGCTTGTTAAAGGTAGCACCAGCGTCTCACCACGCTCACTTTGAACAGCAAAAACTGGGCTGCAGATGTGCAGTGGGGTACCTGCCCCGAACCCCTTTCCATCTGTAAATGGGGTGATGTCACCTCCAAGCCTGTACCCAGAGCTTCTACATCCAGCGCAAAGAGTGCACAGCCACTCAACAGCAGCACCAAAGTTGGGCATGGCGATGCACACCCAAGAGC